CTGCCCGAGCCAATCTCCTGACATGAACTCCATCAAAAACCTCTGGGCCATACTCGACCGGCAAGTCAAGAAAAAAAAAACAAATTCGAAGAGCGATCTACTCCAAGTTTTGAAGCAAGAGTGGGCGAAAATCCCCCAATCTAAAATTGACGAGATGATTCTCACGATGCCCCAAAGGATCAACGAACTCCACGAAGTGAAAGGAAGATCTACTAGATGTTAATTAGATTATAAATATATCAATTCATGTGAATATGACTGAAAAATTTAATTTTTTCTGAAAAGGTGGTGTCTATTTAGTTTTGACCACGCTGTGTAGATAAATCTAAATACTTGGGCACATCTATTATAAAAACAAAAATTTAGTTTTGTGATTTTACATTTTAAGATCATGGAAAACAGAAAAGAAATTTAACTCATAGGTATAATTAAACTTTTTATTCATTCCTTTTAAAACTTATAAACAATTATTTACAAAGAATGCTCCAAATAAGAAAGCAAGCCCTTTTAAGCTATCTGTATATATGCCTAGCCAAATTAATAGAAACATCGATACATGTATCATGTTAGCCTCCTAAAGGTACTATGCACATACATGACAGCCTTCATATCGTACTTCATATGTTGTGGCATGCATTCTACAGGTCAGTATTTCCATATTACTAGTACTACCTGAAAATTGGAATGAAGAAAATATATCCAGATTGAACTTGCAGATATACATGTATAGCAAAACAATACACAATTTTAAAATATATTGTTTAATGTATTTAAAAATATAACTGTCAAACACTCGTACTTCTAATCTTTATTTCTAACAAAGAGGAGTTAAATTTTGGATTTGTAACAAATGTATAAGGCCATGAAATTAGACACATTTTACAATGAATAGGAAAGTGTTAAAATTGATGTGTGCAAAAGCAAATATAACTTTCTTGGAAGTTCTAGTGAAACATTGCACAAATGTCTTAGGTTTAAGCAATTTCATGAACAGATAAGGAAGAATGACCTATAAAAAAAATAGAAACCAACAGTTAAATATCAGTACTATTTCTAACAATACTAAATCAGTAACTTGTTCTTAAGTCTTAAGTGCAATATCAATGAAACATTTATTTTTTATGAATTTTGTTCTGAATATTCTAATATATACAATTAGATAATTAGTTGGTAATTATATTTTAGTAAATAACCAAATGTTAATATACATTTGTAATCAATGAAAATGTTATATAGTATATTTACTTAAATTGCATTCTGTTACTGTTAATATTACTGGTTTTAATGTAGGTTTGGCAGTAACAAACCTAATAAATATTAAAAATTTGATTGTTTATATAATATAAAATAATACAAAACATGTTTTGCTGAAAATAAAAAAATAAATGAATAAAGTTAGTAAAAAATATTTACTGAAACTTAGAATGGGACAGAATTTGGCACCTACATCTGCCAAATCCCATCATATAGATAGAATTTGGATGGTGGAAGTATTTGCCAGCACACTGGTTAGGCCAACTTTAACATTTAAAGTTAAATGCTTTCTTTTCATAATTTAACATAGAATTTAGAACAAGTTGTAAAAATAAGTGCATTATAGATTTAACGAGAAGCAAAATATGTATTATTCAGATATGATTAACGAGGCTGAAGATTCTGCTGATTACAAACTATAAATATTCTTATAAATGATTTTGAAGAAATTGGTGATCGGATAAATATTAAGATAGCTATTATTAACCTTAATTTTTCTCATTGTATTTGTCATAATTGGATATTTATTATCGACGTTAACCATCATTCCAATGTCAGCATGAGTTGTTCTTTATAAAGAGTGTTTAAGAAAAACATATATTTCAAATTTCAGGTACATACAAGCTTAGAAACTGTGATTACCAGTACTCTTTGATACATTGTTTAGGCAGAGGATTCATGATGAAACTTTGTAGAATGGACGGCAACTGCCTGTTGTAGAGACACAAATGTAGAGGACGACTTTCGTCTTCAGGTCCGTCTGTGTTCTAGCAGTTGTTTTGATTTGAAATTGATTATTTCAGAGGAAATAATTAATAATCAGGGGCACTCAAAGATTAAGCAACCCTTCTTCATCCCGCACTTGGATTAGAGGTATGGACTTGAATTTACGTATAAACAAAGAATGATAGGTTGATTAAAATGAAGTTTTGATAGAAAATAAACTATGTAAATATCAAGCATAAACGGCCAATATCGGACAGATGGTCCATCAGGGCGGCGGGGATATATAAATCCTATGCCAAGAATTTCATTAGAGGTGGAAGCGGGAGTACCCCGAGAAAACACACTTTCACTGGTGAGGAGCCAATCCTTTACCAGTGCCCCTTTAAAGAGAAGAAATAAGTTGGAGAGGCAAAGTGAAGTCTGGCGCTGGGGGTTGATTACAGTTTAAAGGAGTTTTGTATTCTCTTGATGTTTTCCAGGACTTTACTGGAGTTCGGGTTCAAGTTCTGGTATGGCTGTGACGGCGTGAAGTCCTCGGTGTCGTTGGTAAGTTATTCCTCAGAGTAGGTGTCGATTACAAGAGCGTTGGGTGAGTTTGACGAGGAGGGTGCAGAATGTGGAACTGGGTTGAGGGGCGGGTTGCTGGTTTGTTGATATGCGTCGTTGGTTATTGGTAGGACTGGCAGCCGAGTTTGGGTTGTCTTGTCTTGTGTTTCTGTCTCAGATGTGGGTGAAGTTTGAGTTGCTTGGTCTGATGTGATTGATTGGGTAGTAGAGTTCTGGTAGGCTGTGGTTGTCGTTCGGATGTTGTAAAACATGGGCTTGTGGTGAACTGGTAAAAGTATGGGTGGGCAAGGCTTCCAGTTTGGATTCTCTGCCTTGAAGTGATAGAATTCAAGAGAGCAGTCGTGTGTGAGAATGAAATGCAGTTAGTTTAGAAGTCGTGACAACTTTCATGAAATGAGAGGGTGAACCTGTTTTCCTGGACGTAATTCTATGAACTGGGTGGATCGTTAAGTTGGCTGTAATTTCGAGGGCTTGATGGATTTCTTCTGTGGTAAAGGATAGGTGAACGTTTCTTAGAAATACTGTGTGGAGTCTAGCATTGCCTTTGGGGGGTTGGCACGTGACGGGTGGGTTCGAAAACTAAGGGCAGCAAAGGTAACAAAGATATTTGGGTGTTCTAGGCTGGAGGAGTATCTCCTTTGCGGAGACGATGGGTGCACTCAGGAAATACGGAAATACGGGGGCTTGAGGCTTGTATCTGTGGATGAAATTGGTGAAGTCGATAATTACTGGTGGCATTGGGTAGGGGACAGTCTGCTTGCTGGCAGGAAGCATGATATCAAAATGCATCTTACCAGCTTAGCTGTAAGGCTAGGAATTTGAATTCGACCAGTCCAGTTCAGTGTATGTATGGTTTGTTGGTCTTTATATTATTCTGGTGGATTGTGTAGAGCATATTATGATTGGTGGGTTTATCCCTGTTTCTGATTGGAGGAGATATTTCTTGTAGATTCAACCAATGGTGGTCACAGCTTACTCACCTCTAATCCGGAATCTTTGTTTAGTGAAGGTTTAATTGTGTTAATATAAAATGATTCTTTAATTTTTCTTGTCTTCCAAAATCTGTCTGTGTCGATGATTCAAGTTTTTTCCTAGTTTATTTTGTGTCCATTTCACTGAATTTTGTGTTTTCTTGTACTGAGTACTGTAATGAGTCTTGTACTGCCTTTATGTTTTTTTCATTATTGTCGCGAGTCATCTTCCCGTTTCTTCAATGTATGTTACGTTGCAGGAACACGGAATTTCACAAATAACGTAGTTTGTCTTCCTCATTGGTAGGATGCTGTTTGTTTTTCACCAGAATTGACCTTAATGTCTTGTAGAATTTCCGCCGGACTTCTATGTTGAATTTCTTGGCTATACAAGGAGAAATTCTACGAACAAACAGATGGCATCACAACAAACCAGTAACTTGTCTGAACTTACTCCCTTCCCGCCCATCAGCCCAGATCCACATTCCGCCCCCTCTTCGTCAAACTTCTCCAGTGCTCTGGTTATCGACATTTCCGTCGACCACGACATACCCGATGAACCTTTCCGTGCTTTCCTCCCAACTACCAACGATACCAAGGACTTCACTTTGGCAAAACCATATCTGAACCTGGACTCGAACTCTAGTAAATTCCTGACAAACATACGAAAAAATCCGAAACTCCATTTAGCATTAATTAACTCCCAGCATCAGCCTTCACTTTGCCTCTCCAACTTATTTCTTCTCGCTAACTGGGCAATGATAACGATTGGCTCCTTACCAGTGAAAGTGGGTTTTGTCGGGGTGCTCCCCCCCCACACACACATCAAATTCTTGGCATAGGACCATCTGTCCGAGATCGGCCGTTTATTAAATTTCCGTCCAGTTAACTTATCATACTTTGCTCATTCAACCTATACTTCAACTCAAGCCTGTACCTCTAATCCACGAGCGGGCGAAGGAGGATTGCTTAATCTTCGAGCGCCCCCGATGATCAATTATTTCTGCTGAAGTAATTAATTTCACATAAAAACAACTGTCATGACACACACACACTGACCTGAAGACGAAAGGCGGGAGACTTTCGAAACGTCGTCCTCTACACTTGTGTCTCTACAAAAGGCAGTTGTCGTCCATTCTACAAAGTTTCATTGTGATTACCAGTGTTTATCAGTTAGGTTTTTTTATAATAAATGCAAATTACGCAACCATATATCAAATAATAGGTTTCCATGTGGAATTAAAGATTGTGACAAATATATATAAATTACAATGCCTTTTGTATTAATTTTACAACTTATCATAGGAACAGAGAAAAGATACTATAAAAATAAGAAGAAAGTGGACATAGCAGGTGGAACTCACTGGATATGAATTTAGTTTTTTCTGTTGTGGAATTATCTGCTCACTTTAAGTACCACACTTCTTTAGGCGATGAAATTCCCCGCCCGTTTTATAATTGGACAAAAAATATTTGATTAAATTATTCTTTACTGCATATATTTCAAGAGTTCATCTCTCATGTATATAAATTGATCTCAAAAGTGATTTTTTTTTGGTTCAAAGAATACTTGTGCCAAAACTGGTAAGAATGGTACCACATACACCACTAAACCATGTTTTTGGATAACCAGAAAACACAGCATTAGGTTTTCTTAGTGATAGTGACAATGAGGAATATGATAACATGTCAAGTATTGACTTGTTTATCAAAAAAATATAACACTATTCTTTCAGAAACTAAAAGCAAAGTTACTAATATCATCTTCAACTGTACCTCCAAGTGAAAACAAGAGGGAAATACTCAATCCTTTTAGGCAGGATTAGATTATATAAACTTTGGAAACTTGTTCATTTTATAGGTTGCAAATTGATTATATTCAGTTGGTGGTGTTGTGCAAGAAAAAAGATATGAGTTTTGTCAAGAAAGGGTGTTTGAACCAATATTAAAAGATTTGTAAGATATTGAAAGCATTGGTGTTTAAGAGTGTAGAATGGCTATTAAATGCAATGTTGCTATTCTTGGAGGGAACTTAAGCAACCATTTCACTGGAAGTTTCACTGAAAATTTTAGTTATTCTTTGTAGGTACTGTAAAAAAAAACACGTGATGTTTTAGAAAAGTTTTACTTACAATGTGTGTTTGAAGAAGTAATTCAGTTTGACCTGGCATTATATTATACCTAAGGTATTTTTGTGAAAATAAAAAAAATGGTTTTCATTGCAACAGTTGAACAGTATGATAAAATAATTTACTTACGTGGGTAATGATTCAAATTGAAATTAGTAGAAAGCTGCTCAATCATGGTGTTTGTTGAGGCTTCTACCACTGATAATGTAAGATAAGATTACTCTGATCCAGTTTGGCTGTTTTACCTTAGATGAAAAAATAGTTGAGATTGTTTGTTCTCCAAGACTAAATAAAGATTATATGAAAACATTGATAGAATAATATATGAAAATGAAAACAGAACATCATAACATCACTTTATATTACATTATCCATTGTTAGCCTTTAATTATGGTTCATTAACAAGGTTATAGACTCTTCGATTCAAAGAAAAGCAGAACTACTTTAAGAGGTGTGCACATTATTTACAGAATTTTATTAATATTACACACACTATGTCACAAAAGCATTAATCTTTACAAGCCTTTCTTGGTGCTGAAAACACTGTTATAATGAATAAATAAATACCATGAATTTTCATGCGTCACTGTATTATTGTAAAAGTGTAGTGAAAACTACTCACAAGTTAAATTGTAACTCATCTGTCTTGGTAAGTGACCAGGTAACATATAAAGGGACTTCTTATAAAAATATATTAGTAGCCCTAAATGAAAATAATAAACTCATCTTTGAAAAAATTATGTTTGTTTTATTACATCTTCAGAACCCGTATTTTATTGTTAAGATGTTTCACCAAATATCACTGATGATTTGAAGTTGTGCTCTTTAGAAAACACAAAGTTCACAAAACGTCTAGATGCTCCTGTGGTATAGGAATGAGTTACAAATTGGGGGTGCTTGGCTAGACGTAATAATATAAATTACGGTTGCTATATAAATCAAATATGTAAAAGTGGAAGTGCTGCAGTATTCACGGTTCTGATGTAAATAACCGTATAGAGTACTTATTACCCTACAATGTGCAAGCACAAATTTTGCTTCCATTGAGACATTATTTATTATAAAGTAAACACCTAGCCGATAATTTACAGGCCATTATATGTGAAGAGAGCTTCCAAATATATATTTGTTTGTGATTAAGCACAAAGCTACACAATGGGCTATCTATGCTCTGCCCACCACTTGTATCGAAACCCGATTTCTTGCGTTTTAAGTCCTCCGTAGACATACCGCCGTGCCACTGGGGGGGCTCCGTATATACATCTCCACTGCTTTGCCACAACTTAGTGATGAAAAAGGAAGTGTTTGTAGAAGCTACTGATTTGGAAGGTGTTTTATTACTAATACAAATTAGAAAGTTTATTTCTTGGTATAAGAATGTTGGTAAGTAAATCTTACATTCGTTAAAATCTCTGAACTTTCATGGGATTAAATACTTAACTCTTTGGTGTCTGTGTTAAAATGAAGAGTAATATTTATGCATAACAATGTCTCATCTGCATAAATGTTATGTATGGCTATGTCGCAATTTTCAGTGTAATATGTGAATATTTAAAGACTTGGTGTTAAAATTCTTATAATATATGTAACATTTATATACCTATTGTTCTTTTGTTACCCATTAATATTACTATGTGATAAAATTTGTGTTACGTATTTAAAAGTTCTTTACTAATATGTTGTGTACTAGTTAATTTTAGCAAAAAAAGAATTAATTATGGAACCATTATGTATGTACCGTAATTTTCCAAATATAATATGCATTAAAATCTTTACGTACAAAGAGTAAAAGTTGCCTTATCACCATAAATAATACATACCTAGACTTTTGCATTACTGCGGTCAAAGTAACCCTTTTATGACAAAAA